AAATTTCTGAAGTGAACTACTAGGCCATTTCACACTTACACAAAAATCATTCTGATTTTCGCAGTTAGACAGACTCAATGAAAGTGCAAATTCGCTGGTTACCTCGGTTACTCGGCACACAAAGCAATTGTCACAGAGATGAAAGGAAGTTACACCAGTGTTTACAAGTTTATAGCCTTTCAGATTTTTGTATTTACAGTGGTGAAAAACCACGTAGCATCGATGCTCACTATATTTCTTAATGGAAATTCTGATGCGTGAAACATAAATTGTGCAAGCCAACTCAATACACATTATGAAATGTGACAGATTTTTAATGATTTAATTAAATTATTACAGCTATCTAATTATATTTCAGAATAAACAAACATTGTTGGATAGGTAGTGAACATAATCTTGCTACCATTTATAATTAAATTACAGCTGAAACGTTGAAGGGATGTGTAATAATCAAAGTATTCATCATAATTTACATTTTTTCGATCTTACATGATCTTGGCAGCTGATTAAGATGCACCCCATGGTTGCATCTTGTATGTAACAGCAGCAGCTCTGGGCATGTGAACAAAAACATACATCTTATTGGTGTTTTTGCAGTGTGATTAGATCCATAAAAAAAATCTTTTAACACATTAATAGCATGTAAATGTCTGTGTCTGTCTGATCAGGCACGATAACGGCACAAGTTGTTCATTCATATCCAAATGTTTGTAACAAACTGACCGTACAATAAAGCCGAGTTACAAACTGCATAAGAACGCCTGTTCTAACTTCCTTTTTTAAGATGGTTGAAAACAGAGTTCATGGAACATTATGCAAGTTCAATATCTCCTTCCGTGTATTTCACACAAAACATACAAACAAACCATAATACCATATACCACAACAATAAAGCCCGTTGTATGAGAGTAGGTATGTGTGCATAAGTCCAAAGGCAATGTCAATAGTCCCGTGTGTGTGTGTGCGTGTGTGAGTGTTAAGATCAGCCTCACCAGAAGGAATGTCAACACCGTGAGCGTGATCAAAGGCGGGGATGACAGGCTTATGTCCTCAAAGTAATCCTGGCAACGAGCCAATAGAAGTTCTCCACTGAGGAACGGCGACTCGGCGCTTCTAAGACAATCGATCCCGGGAAAATCCACATAAACACCGGTCGGTTTTGTGAATGAGAAGACGCTTCTCTCGAACATTAGTTTTCCGGTTCCTTTTATGGTAAACTAAAAGTCTTTTCCTGTTTACCTGTGACACACGCCCACGTGACAAACGTCATCACATGTTCAAGTGCGCACACACCTTGGGATCCAAATACAGTACAATAGCAAGGCATTCAGAGTACAGAGCAAAGTAGAAAAAGTTAGGAAATTCCAGTGACTAAACATTAAATAATAGTCACTAATCTCATCTAAACTTTCCTCCTATGTGGCCACGCTACATGTTTATCATACTAAATCAACTCTCGGCTCCAATCAACTTGGTTTATTTATATTAGCTTTATGTAATTTATTTAGTATTTCATAACTAAATAATACCTACCTGAAAAACTTAAAGCACTATTTATTTAAGTTGTATCTTTGTTCTGTTGTATTTATTTGTGCTATTGACTTGTTATTTGTTTATTTGTTATTTTATTTCTTACTGTTCATTTGTCTTTGAAATTTTGTAACTGTATATTATTGAGCTAATAATTTTTGCTATGGTGTTGAAATTGCAATGGAGAATAATGAAGTTTCATTGGTATCTAATATTTTGGTGTCGTAACAACTTTATTTATTCAATTACAAGGTTACATTGGTCAAAAACATTGTAAACAATTTTAAACAATGCGGGGCCAGTAGAATAATGTTTTTGCGGTGATCCTACAAATGGGCCCCTGTAATATTGAACTTGATGTAAAAGAGTGTTCTCATCTTTTGGTCTCTTTTTAAGGACTAAGTGACCCCTCTGAGACAGGTCTGAGATCAGTGACAAGAGACTCAGACAGTCAGCGCCCTCTGATGAGTGATGATGAAGATGAGTTATGTGAGGAATACTCCTCCATTCAGCAGCAGGAAGAGGAACCTGAACCACAGCCCAAAGCCATCGGCTTCCTACAGGCCTTCTGCTTGCCTGGAGTCCTTCCCGTCTGTGTCCATTTATACACTTCCTTACTTATCCTTACCCATTATTGTCGACTAGATGTGTATTTATTTTCTGTCTCTTGCAGTATTCCCTGGCTTATGCATGTCTGAAGCTGGTCAACTACTCTTTCTTCTTCTGGCTGCCATTTTATCTCAGCAATAACTTCGGCTGGAAGGAAGTTCAGGCCGACCGACTATCTGTGTGGTATGATGTGGGAGGAATTGTTGGTGAGTACCCAGTTTGGTCTTAAACAGATGTTACCAATCAACTTTAAGGGTCAGGTTTACTAACAGTTTGTGCTACTGTCAGAATTTACTTAAGACACGCAGTGAAAAATCCTAAAAAAAAGGAAAAATCCCCCCCCCCCCCCCCCCCCCCAAAAGGCATGTCTTAAACCAGATACAGATAGATTGAGTTGGTCATTATGTAAATGATCCAGCTGTGGTCTTTATTTGTGTGTCATCTGTTGATCATTTGCAGAACTTTCCACTCACATCGGTGCTGTTTTGAAATGGCGCTCTCACGTTAATTTGCTGTTTAGTAAATCTGTGCCCGGTTGCATAAAGCACCTTAAGTGTAATTTTCTCTTAAGTTCACCCTTATGTTTCCCTTAAACCTAAGGGTGTTGCTGAAAAACCCCTCATCTGTTACTTAAGGGTTTCTTTAAGTGAAATGTCATAAACACTTAGATTTTCCCTTAAATGCTGTTTTTCACTTAAGTAATCCCTTAAAAAGCGTTAAGTGTTGCATAAAACCCCTTAACGGTCATTTCCCTAAGTATAATTTAAGGTTTGGAAATCTTAACCTTAAGAGTAACACTGACAAAAATAAAGATGAAATGGCTGAATGTATGGAACCAGCTGAAGATCATTATGTGCCAAGAATAATTTTTAGGGATAGGGAGAACCCTTTTGGACCCTTTTTGTGTTGGCGCATGCACTCATTTTTTAAAATCAAAATAAAATAAAAGAGTCCGAATGTTTGTAATTGTGTAACGCAACAAGGAATTTTATTACATCTGATCGTCAAACCAACGTATCAGCAACAGCAACCAACTGCATCGGCAATAATTACAAGCCTGAATTGACAACAAAGCGACCAGTGATCTCTCTCTTATTCTCTTCTATAAACATATAGTGGCTATTAAGATTTTAATTAATTACTGTTATAGGATATTTACCATTAACAGATATGTGCCAAATGTCTGTCAGATTTCGCGCTCTCTTTTTCTGTTTAGTTTTTCCTAACTCACTGACGACGGTGCACAAGCCACTTAAGGTAAAGGGAAAACATGACATGGATTTCAGGAGAAATAGGTTTTGTTAATGTGTAGCCTAAGGCAAGTCGAATGGATTTGGGAAATGGACCGGCCGGGATTTTATATTTTCGGAGCTAGAAAGATAGACGTAAAGTTATTTGCAATCACTAGATAGTGCCTGCACAATTATACAGTATGATCAGATATTGGATACGTGGATATATCAGATATTGGATATCAGATACGTGTCCCCCCATAGAGTTACGCGTATGTTTCAGACAATAGTTGGGTTTTCCACATGCATAAATCGCCTGTCAGCAGAGGGGTTCACCGGGTTGCGGGGGCTCTTTTCCGTCATTTAAAAGACTCAATCCCGTAGTTTGCTTTTTCAAAATTGTTTTTATTTGACCATATTAGTCAAGAAGAAAACATTTATCATCCTCTGTCCAATTAGGCTTTCTTTTTTGTTTTCTTTATCCATTCCGATATCCTAGCCTACTTTATTTGATGAAACTGCGAAATTGCTAGTGTTAGTGTTTTGCGTATCTATGGCAACAACAGACTTTTATAACGTGAATCCAGGATAGCTGTCGTGAAACACTTAATTTTTTCCCTTACCTAAGAGAACCGTTTAAGAGATTATATGCAACACCCTTAAATTATTCTCTTAGGTAAGGGGAAATCGCCCCTTAAGTATCATTCTTAAGGGAAAAACTTAAGGTGTTTTATGCAACCGGGCACTGTTCCTTAGCATTCTTTGACCACTCTGAAAGAAACATCACATCTAACTGAAAGATCTTTGCTGTTACCAGTTTTTCTCATCATTGGAATTACTGATGATACTGGTTATTAACCAGTTTTTTAATTTTATTTCTGTCGCCAATGGTAAACACAAAACAAAAATGCTCATCATATAAAGTATTAACATAGTAACACACTGATCTGTTGGTATCTTTCGGTGTGGTATGAATTGGCCTTTACATCTTCACAGAATTATGTAAATGAACAAGTCAACCTGAACTAAATAACATGCTAGTCAAAATGTGTGAGTCACGTTGTGAATGGCTCTTTCCAATGCGCTAAAAAACACGGACAATGTTTAACTAAAACGTCTCTGGTTACTTACGTAACCTATGTTCTCTGAATAGGGAACGAGACGCTGCGTTAGCGGCCAAGCTCCTCGCGCTGCTGACAGTCTTCTTTTCGGCAGAGAAATCTGAGGGGAAGATGGCGCACGCGCGTATATGATTATGCGACGTAATTGCGTCGGGGCGGGGCCAGATTGCGCGAGCGCCATCAGCCAATGAATTGGCGTGATTCTATTGGGCTTCAGACAATCGGCATATTCAGAGAATATCCCACTGCGCTATCCGCAGCGTCTCGTTCCCTATTCAGAGAACATAGGTTACGTAAGTAACCAGAGACGTTCTCTTTCATAGGTTCACTCAACGCTGCGGATAGCGCAGTGGGAACGGGATACCAAACTCGCCAAGCAAAGAGCGCTGTAATGACGGTATCGAAAGATAAAGACTACAAACGGTTCAAACAGAAAGAATCTGGGAACCCGGGGTCATGTCAAGATCCAAATTGTAGAAACGTACAAAAGTGTGCGGAGAGGACCATCCGGCCGCAACACAAATGTCCTCTAATAGAGCTCCCCTGAAAAGAGCTTGAGAGGATGCCACACTCCTGGTGGAATGCGCTCTAATGCCAAGAGGCGAAGGCAAACCACGCGCCTGGTAGGCAATCGATATCGCCTCTGTGACCCAATGAGAAATCCTCTGTTTCGATGCAGCAAGCCCACGGCGGCCAGCACCAAAACAAACCAGAAGCTGGTTAGATTTCCTCCAACAGCTGGAGCGGTCTACATAAAACTTCAAAGACCGAACTGGGCAGAGCAGATTAAGCTTCCTATCCTCCTCAGAGGAAAAAAGCGGAGGGTGGAAAGCGTTAAGGCTAACAACCTGAGAGCGGAACGCTGTGGAGAGAACCTTAGGAACATAGCCTGGCCTAGGTCTCAAGGAAACTTTGACTAACCCGGGAGCAAAGTCTAAGCATGACTCACTAACAGAAAGAGCCTGCAAGTCCCCTACCCGCTTTAAAGAAGACAAAGCCAACAAAAGTGACACCTTAAGAGTCAGAATCCGATCTGGAGCTGACTCTAAGGGTTCAAAGGGGGCCTCCTTTAAACCCTCCAAGACGACAGAAAGATCCCAAGAGGGAACCCTAGGGGAGCGAACTGGTTTCAGGCGCCTAACCCCACGCATGAAGGCCGAAACTAACCTCAATTTGCCCAAAGGAATCTCGTCTGACTCTCTATGTGCCGCAATGGCTGCAACATAGACCCTGAGGGTAGTAGCCGCCGCCCCTGAGGAAAATCTCTCTTGCAGGAACTCCAACACTGAAGCGACAGGGCAGTTAACTGGGTTCCTATCACGTGCCAAGCACCAAGACGCGAAAACCTTCCATTTGGAAGAATACAGACTCCTTGTAGAAAGAGCTCTAGCACTAGCGATGGTCTCCTGAACGTCAGTCGGGAGATCCAAGCCTAAAGTCGACGACCCTTGATCGGCCAAACGTACAGCTTCCACATATCCGGGCGAGGATGCCAAATCCTGCCCTGAAGCTGGGAAAGCAGATCCTCTCTGATTGGAATCTTCCAGGGAGGCGATTCCAGCAGAGGAATTAACTCAGAAAACCATGGCTGAGACGGCCAGAATGGGGCTACTAGAAGGAGGCGGACTCCGCTCTCCCTCACTCTGGCCAGGACCGCCTGGATCAGTTTGATGGGCGGGAAGGCGTAGAGTTTCTGCATTGGCCAAGGGTGGGCGAATGCATCTATCCCCAACGGAGCTGGAGGATTCAGGGAGAACCAGAGTGGGCATTGGGATGACTCCTGCGAGGCAAAGAGGTCCACCTCCGCTTTTCCGAACACCTCCCAGATCAGGGAAACTGTCTGACGGTTCAACATCCAATCCCCCGACTGGAGTTTCTGCCTCGATAGAAAATCCGCTGCGAGGTTCAGAACCCCTGGGACATGGACCGCTCTCAGAGAAAGGAACCTGCTCTGAGACCATAATAGAAGATGACGCGCATGCCTGTCCAGGGTGCGAGATCGAGAACCTCCTTGCCGGTTCACATGGGAAACTACTGCCATGTTGTCCGTCCTGACAATGACATGGTGATCCTCTAGAAAAGGGAGGAAATGACGCAAAGCCAGGAAGACGGCTCTCAGTTCTAAGCAGTTTATGTGCCAAGCGAGGGTCTCGCCCGTCCAGACCCCACATGCTGGCCTGCCCTCGAAAACTGCTCCCCAACCGGTTAGAGAGGCATCCGTCGTAAGCATCTGGCGACGGAATACCGTTCCCATGCTGACCCCTTTCTGAAGAAAGAGATGGTCCCGCCAAATCGACAGGTCGCGAGAGCAACTGCCCGACACCCTCAACAGGCGAAAGGCTGACCCGGTGGGCCGGATGCCTGAGAGCTTCATCCACCACAGGAAGGGTCTCATGTGGAGCAGACCCAGGGGTAGCACAGGGGAGGCTGCGGCCATTAAGCCCAGAAGCCTGCGGCAAGTGCCCACAGAAACATGATGGCCAAGCGAAAAACGGGCCAAACATGTCATCAAACTGCAAATCCGTGCAGGAGCCAAACGGGCCTGCATACGAACGGAATCCATGTGCACACCCAGGAAGACTGTGTGCTGAGCTGGAGTAAGAACACTCTTCTCCACGTTCAACCTCAGGCCGAGAGACTGAATATGGCGGAGAACAGTGTCCCTGTGGTGGGTAACCAACTCCCTTGACTGGGCTAGAATGAGCCAGTCGTCCAGATAATTGAGAATGCGGATGCCCTGGAGCCGCAAGGGGGCCAGTGCTGCATCCACGCATTTCGTGAACGTTCTCGGTGCCAGGGCAAGGCCAAAGGGAAGGACCTTGTACTGGAATGCCCTCCCTCCAAAGGCGAACC